TCCAATATTTGTAGCAGGTCCTTGATGAATGTCCTATAGTTAAAGCAGGTACTTGTTGAATGTCCTAGAGCTATAGCAGGTACTTGTTGAATATCCTATCGGTATACTAGGTTCTTACTGAATGTCCTACAGATATAGTAGGTACTTGTTGAATGTCCTATAGTTATATCAGGTATTTGTTGAATGTCCTATAGTTATAGCAGGTACTTATTGAATGTCATATAGTTAAAGCAGGTACTTGTTGAATGTCGTATAGCTATAGCAGGTACTTGTTGAATATCCTATCGGTATACTAGGTTCTTATTGAATGTCCTATATATATAGCAGGTACGTGTTGAATTTCCTTTTTGACAGTAGGAACTTGTTGAATATCATAGTTATAGCCGGTAGTTGATGAATGTCCAATATAATTACTAGGTAGTTGATGAATGTTCTTTACGTATAGCAGGTACCTGTTGATTTTACTATACCTGTAGCAGGTACTTGTTGAATTTCCTATATCTATAGCAGGTACTTTTTGAATATCGGTATAGTAAGCTCTTGTTGAATGTCCTAAACATATAGCAGTTACGTGTTGAATTTGCTTTTTTTTTGTATGAACTTGTTGAATGTCCTATAGTTATAGCAGGTACTTGTTGAATGTCCTAAAGTTATAGCAGGTACTCGATGAATTTCCTATATCTATAGCAGGTACTTTTTGAATATCCTATCGGTTAAGTAGGCTCTTGTTGAATGTCTTAGACACATAGCAGTTACGTGTTGAATTTGCTTTTTTATAGTATGAACTTAATGTATGTCATTTAGTTAGTTATAACAGTCACTTGTTGAATGTCCTATATTTATAGCAAGTCTTGTTGAAAATCCTATTGGTATAGTAGGTTCTTGTTGAATGGCCTATAGATTTAGGAGTTACGTGTTGAATATCCTATAGATATAGCAGGTACTTGTTGAATGTCTTATAGTCATAGCTGGTACTTCTTGAATGTCCTATAGTTAAAGCAGGTACTTGTTGAATATCTTATAGCTATAGCAGGTACTTGTTGAATATCCTATCGGTATACTAGGTTCTTATTGAATGTCCTACAGATATAGTTGGTACTTGTTGAATGTCCTATAGTTATATCAGGTATTTGTTGAATGTCCTATAGTAATAACAGGTATTTGTTGAATATCCTATTGGTATTGTAGGTTCTTGTTGAATGTCCTACAGATAAAGCAGGTACTTGTTGAATGTTCTATAGCTATAATAGGTAATTGATGAATATCCTATTGGTATAGAAGGTTCATGTTGAATGTCCTATAGTTGTAGAAGGTACTTGTTGAATGTCCTATAGTCATAACAGGTACTCGTTGAATGTCCTATTGCTATAGCAGGTACTTGTGGAATATCCTATAGCTTTAGCAGGTACCTGTTGAATATCCTATCGGTAAAGTAGGTACTCATTGAATGTCCTATATATATAGCAGGTACGTGTTGATTTTCCTTTTTTACAGTAGGAACTTGTTGAATATCATAGTTATAGCCGGTAGTTGATGAATGTCCAATATAATTACTAGGTAGTTGATGAATGTTCTTTACGTATAGCAGGTACCTGTTGATTATACTATACCTGTACCAGGTACTTGTTGAATTTCCTATATCTATAGCAGGTACTTGTTGTTTTTCCTCTATCTATAGCAGGTACTTTTTGAATATCGGTATAGTAGGCTCTTGTTGAATGTTCTAAACATATAGCAGTTACGTGTTGAATTTGCTTTTTTATAGTATGAACTTGTTGAATGTCCTATAGTTATAGCAGGTACTTGTTGAATGTCCTAAAGTTATAGCAGGTACTCGATGAATTTCCTATATCTAAAGCAGGTACTTTTTGAATATCGATATAGTAGGCTCTTGTTGAATGTCCTAAACATATAGCAGTTACGTGTTGAATTTGCTTTTTTTTAGTATGAACTTTTTGAATGTCATTTAGTTATAACAGGTACTTGTTAAATGTCCTATATTTATAGCAAGTACTTGTTGAGAATCCTATTGGTATAGTAGGTTCTTGTTGAATGGCCTATAGATTTAGGAGTTACGTGTTGAATATCCTATAGATAAAGCAGGTACTTGTTGAATGTCTTGTAGTCATAGCAGGTACTTTTTGAATGTCCTAAACATATAGCAGGTACTTGCTGAATGTAATATAGTTATAGCAGTTACTTGTTGAATGTCCTAAAGTTATAGCAGGTACTCGATGAATTTCCTATATCTATAGCAGGTACTTTTTGAATATCCAATCGGTTAAGTAGGCTCTTGTTGAATGTCTTAGACACATAGCAGTTACTTGTTGAATTTGCTTTTTTATAGTATGAACTTGTTGTATGTCATTTAGTTATAACAGTCACTTGTTGAATGTCCTATATTTATAGCAAGAACTTCTTGAAAATCCTATTGATATAGTAGGTTCTTGTTGAATGGCCTATAGATTTAGGAGTTACGTGTTGAATATCCTATAGATATAGCAGGTACTTGTTGAATGTCTTATAGTCATAGCAGGTACTTGTTTAATGTCCTATAGTTAAAGCAGGTACTTGTTGAATGTCTTATAGCTATAGCAGGTACTTGTTGAATATCCTATCAGTATACTAGGTTCTTATTGAATGTCCTACAGATATAATTGGTACTTGTTGAATGTCCTATAGTTATATCAGGTATTTGTTGAATGTCCTATAGTAATAACAGGTATTTGTTGAATATCCTATTGGTATACTAGGTTCTTATTGAATGTCCTACAGATATAGTTGGTACTTGTTGAATGTCCTATAGTTATATCAGGTATTTGTTGAATGTCCTATAGTAATAACAGGTATTTGTTGAATATCCTATTGGTATTGTAGGTTCTTGTTGAATGTCCTACAGATAAAGCAGGTACTTGTTGAATGTTCTATAGCTATAATAGGTAATTGATGAATATCCTATTGGTATAGAAGGTTCATGTTGAATGTCCTATAGTTGTAGAAGGTACTTGTTGAATGTCCTATAGTTATATCAGGTATTTGTTGAATGTCCTGTATTAATAGCAGGTACTTGTTGAATATCCTATTGGTAAAGTAGGTTCTAGTTGAATGTCCTATAAATATAGCAAGTACTTGTTGAATGTCCTATAGATATAGCACATACTTGTTGAATTTTCAATAGCTATAATAGGCAAATGTTGAATATCCTATTGGTATAGTATGTTGTAGTTGAATATCCTATAAATATAGCAGGTACTTAATATTAATAAATGATTTTTTAATATTAATAAATAGGGAATAAATTCCACAACGGCTTGCCATACACGTCTTCATGTTCAAGTGTTCAATTTTAAGAACCTACTTCCATTGGTCTGCACAATAAAAATTAATGTCAACAATAACAATTTAATATCAAAAACCTTGATATAACAATATTAAACATCACTTTCAATACATTCAAATAAGCAAATAGTGCCAAAGTCATAACTCCACTACTAACCGTGTATTGAAATAAGCCCCGCCTCCCTACTAACCTAATATGGAATATACACATTCTCCACGCGGACGCTTTTAACCAATCATATTCCTAGAAGTGTATAGGAGGTAAGATAAAAGAAAATCCTTAGTATTTCGAATAAAACCTTTAATCGTGACTGTGCAATATTTTTACTAAAATTTTACACGTTTTAGTCTTTTCCTCGAGTTGAAAGAAATCAGATTAGTGGTTTACGTCCACTGTTTATTATATATTACCTTGCTCAATGCAAAATTAAATCAGGCATATGGAAATATTTTGTTTGAACAAAAAGGAGAGACACATAGTGGGCAAGCCATTACCATAAGTTAAAGAACAATAACCAACACAGTGGCTAAAAGAAACATAACGAATAGGCAACTAAAGTCACCATAACACTCAACAAAAAAAAAAGAAAAAAAAAGACGAACCCAATCAAAAACGGCTTGAAAACCCCATTTTGTTCCTGCTCCGCTGATGTTGCTCATTACAATAAGAAATATTAAAATTGAGGACATGTCATTGTCTTAAACAAACGCTACAACGATTTGTAATACCTTAACTAAAAAGGTTTTATACATAAGGACAGGAAAACTACAAATTGTTGTCTGAACGTGAATGGACTACTACATGTATATATAAATACTGTTACGTTATTCCATATTTGATAGGTTTCTTTAACATTTGTAATCAATTCGAATTTAAAATTGAATTGAATATAAAAGTATTAAGGTGCACGTGGAAGATGAAAATGATTCATGCAAAATATATTTCGACTTCCTAAACATTCACCGGAGAACCCGGGTTCAAAGCCCGTTTTTGGTCAGGTTCGTGTTACAAGTAGTTAATGTTTTTTTTTTTTTTTTATTTTTATTTTTGGTGTTTTAACGCCACTTTTAAGCACCGCTTTTGGGCTCTTTCGTGGCGGCCAAATTTTATTGGTGGAGGAAGCCGGAGTTCCCGGAGAAAACCACCGACATTCGATAGGAAAACTGACAATCCTAGTCAATTAAGATTGGAGTCGAGTTCACCAGCACGAGCGGGGTTCGAACTCACAACCTCAGTGTTGACTGGCTAGTGATTACAGTAGTAACTACTTAGACCACTCGGCCACCGAGGCCCCCAATGTTTTTTTTTGTTTGTAATGTTTTGTTAAAAACAAGGATTCTTTTTCAAGATATTCACCAGACTGCGGTGTGATCCTCACAGAAAGTATGGAAAACATAAATGAAAAGTAAGAACAATTAAGAACATATTGATGATATTTTCTACATGAATGAGTATTACTTTCTTATTATGAAATAATGCAAGAAAAAAAAAAACAAACAAAAAAACAAATTTCGTGCAGTTATAACCAGACGTACATAAATTTCTTTTGACATTATGTATTGTCGATATATCACTTGATTTTCTTTCGTCAGACGCATATCCGTACCTTTTCCGTTTTTTTTTTATACTATTGGATAATTAAAAGAACATAACATCTAAAACAATTGTGGCTATTTTTTTATTTTATTTTTCTGGATCCACACAGAAATTCATACAAGAGAACCTGCAGCACTTCCTTTTGCCCTCACACTGACTATCTCTTTCACATTCAGACCTTCTTGCATAGCACTGTTGTTGTGTGATGAATTGTCCAGGATCATTTGGGCATTTTCCAGGTTTGGGATCTAATATAAATTATAAAAGAATAAGAAAACCAAAATATACTGCTTCAAAATTTGATATGTTTAACATTTTACTGTAATATCTGACTATTCTGTATAAATATACGGAAAGAAATGCAGGTTTGAAAATTGTAACGTCGTCGTCTTCAATTTAACACTGTTCTTTACAAAAAAATATATCATTTTGAACACTTTTAAGAATTGCAGTATACAGAAAATACCCACACGTTGTCTCTAAACATAAACTTTATTTGTATTTGCCTCAAGCCAGAATGGAAAGCCTTGTATTCTTTCAGTTTCGGAGCCTTTTGTACAAATTAGTCATACATTTTGAGACAATGAATAGTTATCATATAAGTTCATTACGTTTCATAGCTACAATCAGTAAAACCTGAGTCGTCCATGGATCTCTTACTGCTTACATAATGACAAAATGAACTCCAAAGAGTTGTTGAAAAAGGGGCGAAAGATAACAAGGGGACATTTTATACTTATTAAGTCAAGAGAAGCTGGGAATGTCAGGGCAAGAAACGCAAGACGACGAAGAAACGGCGAAAAGTCGACGAAAAGACGATAAAATTTTCAAAACATTACATAAAGAACTATGCCTTCCTTTTTACATTTCATTGATACATCTTTTTAATTATTCAAAATAATCAGCCAAAAGGGGTTCTACAAGAATCACTGGTCATTCACCTTCATTTGATTTCTTAAATTATCAATATATAATCTTCATAGTTTGATATTTACGCATATGCGAATAAACTATTTTGATTGAAATATGCTCTTCTTTCCGGTATGTTCTTTTGGTTAGGGCCCGAGATGATGGTGTTAATTCTTACACAGTCTACTAAAATGATTATATCTCGGTGTGTCCCGAGGTTTTCTTAATGTTTGTATTGTTTTTGCACGCTTCAGTGTGATTACAGGGCTATATTATGCCTGTTAATGTTTGAATTATTTGCCAGATTTATTTTATCGATATTACTCCAAAGCTTTAATCTTCAATTCACAGTTGTGTCGTGGTCGTCAGTTTGAATAGAATTTCGCTCAAACTGGTGCTTTGGATCGTCTTAAACTTGCAGTGAAGTGAGAGTTTTTGCTCTGTGGTGAAGGCTTCACTGTGACTATAAGAAGGAGAACAGCAACAAAAGCGCTGTTCCTTTCCTTTTTTTCTGTGCGTGTACTGATCTTGTGTCATACATTTGTAGATGGATACGCCCTATCCTTTCTTTTATCTTAAAGACTGAGCAATAGGAAGCCCACCGAAAACTGGGGCTGATAACAGATGCTACGGACGGGTAAGCATATTCTGCTCCACTAGTGCCACCAGACGTGTTAACCATACGATGTTACAAGGTAATACAAATGAATTGAAATTTCTTAATCTTTTATATTTTCATTTTATTGATGCACAATAATTTAACAGATATATTCTAATGTGCACACTCATTATTCCTGAACACCTTTTCGCGAAACGGTACTGATTGGCATCAGTAGTTACAAAAGTCTGAAAACTTTTATCAAAACAAAAAGAGTACCGGATTTGATTGTGTAATCTTCTGTTTGAATTAGTGAATCTATTTTCTTTATAGACACAACTTAAATGAGAATAATATGCATTGTTGAAGGTTGTCGCCTGTTAAAACGTTTAACCCCGCTGCATTTGTTGCACCTGTCCTAGGTCAGGAGCCTGTTGTTCAATGGTTGTCGTTTGTTGATGTGGTTTATAAGTGTTTCTCGTTTTTTATATAGACCGTTGGTCTTCCTGTTTGAATTGTTTTACACTAGTAATTTTGAGGCCCTTTATAGCTTGCTGTTCGGTGTGACCAAAGGCTCCGTGTTGAAGGACGTACTTTTACCTATAATTGTTTACTTTTTACACATTGTGACTTGGATGGAGAGTTGTCTCATTGGCACTCATACCACATCTTCTTATATCTTTATTGTGTACAAATATAGTATAATTGGGGTGGTGGTGAACTTTTTTTTTATCAATACCTTGCATACCTAGAATTGGAATTCGACAGCAGCCAGAGCAACATAACTCGTTTTCAGCACATTCATCGTCAATCAAACAATTACGTGTACATACTAAAACTGGATTTGTTGGACAGGATCCCTGAAAAAAATGCATAATTTATTAGTGTAAAAAAACCCCATTCTATTAAAAGTTTGCCAATCAACGGTACGATATTAAACTACAAATGAATGTGACATGTAATGTTCCGGTTGGTACATCTACATAATCCGTGGACTTTATTAAAAGCACTAAATGTTAAGCAATGATTAATTGCTGCAAATGAGACAAAATAACTCGTCGGTAAGAAATACTGAATTTCCGGATACAAATTGTGTCCTTGTTTAAAAATTTGGCAAACATTGGAGCTCATGTTGTTGGCTCTACTTTTTGCTTTTGAATGAATTTTACAAACTTAAATTGTTGAACATAATTTACCTATGTTCAAATCTCATAAATTGACAAAGAGGACAAATCGAGACAATAAGCCAAACAAGATGGAATATCATGCGCTAAAAAAGGAAAGAAACATGGTATGCGTCTCCATTTATGCTTGCATCTCCCGCCATGCGAATCAATACTCAGTCAACATCTCATAACCGGGAATAGGACACATCAGGTTGAATTACAGAATGCTAAAACATGTCGCTAGTGATTTGAGACACAAACATCAATCAACTCGTGATGGTGTGGGTAACATCATTACAGTGTCTATTTCAGTCGTTCTTCTGCAGACATGTAGCTGTTTTGGAGTAGGTTTTGTGTTAGAACAACCTGCTAATGACATCCATATCGTATGAACACACACAACTGCTATATGAAAACGCCATACGACAGGTAATATGGTATGTTACTGCTGGGGAATGAAAAGTTGTGTATTGAAAAGTTTAAATCATTACGTTTTACATAGATTCTAGTTTGAAGTCGCCCAGCTCTATCAATATTGGTGCAAATATTGAGATATACGGAGGTATCCTTAATCACACGTTCAGTGGGATATATGAGATGCAACCACTTATTAAAATGTGGTTGATTTAGTTACAGGACATTATCAATATATAGGAAAGTGAAATTACAAAAGTTTGCATTAGCTTTTTGTTTTTGTCTTAATTGGGACATCGTTCGACAAAACAATACAATTTTTTTTGTAGCAAACATTTATAAAAGCGCAATAAAGAAATAATATTTCGCTATTAGCAGTCAGTTTGGTTCAATTTTGTCATTAATAAAAAAAACAAAACATCACTGATATATTATTGACTTGCAACTCATTTAAATCCACAATCATGCAACCTTAATGCATTTTTATAGATATAAGAAGATGTGGTATGAGTGCCATAAGACAACTCTCCATCCAAGTCAAAATTTATAAATGTAAACCATTATGCATGTATGCAGCATGTTGTGGTTAGCAATTTCATTCATTAAAAGGAAAAGTATGTCAGCTTTAAAAAGTGAAAAAAGGGAGACATTTGGATTAACCATTGCGTTGACTTATCTGGCCCGCCAAACAACCATTCTTTTACACGTAAGATGATGATTTACATATTCATTAACAGACATACAAAATCCGATTGCATGTGCTCGCTCTATGTTTATATCGTGTTATATGATTGTAGGCAGTCTTCGTATGTCATCATGATAGATAATTAGATGGCGTCTGATCCAAAATACACATGAATTGTTGTTACAATAAAGCGAACCCATGAATTGTTAATTGTTTCTTTTGGACTTTTTATTATATGGTAGGTTTGTATGAATTCTGCTGCTTTTTGAGTAAAAACGACAAGTCGACCAGTCTAATACAAAATTAATACCAATTGGAATTCCGACAGTCTGTTGAGATATCAATCAACACATACGTTGTCGATCAACAAGTTCAGCATTTTGATAATATCATCCTCGTTATAATATTTTTTTCAAATCAGTGCAGTTCTTCCCTATTTTTCATGACAAAAAAAAAATAGTATTAATTTCGTATGTACAAACCACGTTTTGTACAAAAATCATGTTTAATGAGACTAAAACAGGTTAAACAAAACTGGTAATGTATCGCATTTGTGTATACTTTATGCAAAAGTATTCTGTAAGAATTGAAATAATAAAACAATTAAATATTACCTGTTTACATCGTGAATGAAAACAACCAGTAATACATTTTACGCCATTTATCACGTCATATGTGAATCCACCACAAGTATAATTTGGAGGGGGAGGAACACACGGTGGTATTGGCCCACATGGATCTTTCTCTGCAATACAAAAGTACATATCCATGTTTGACTTGTGCATAGAGTAAAAGATGCATGGTTAATAGAAAAGAAACGATATGAGGTAGCCATCCATGACACAAAATCAGTTCATGCACAGCAAAAATTACAAAAAAGCAAAGTAACAGCGCAAATATAAATATACGAATATTACTGTCGAAATAAATGCATTAATGCATTAGCCACTTATTAATTTGTTATTTTAAAATATGAGTTTTTTAACCCACCAGTGTCACTTTATGCATTTTCAGAGTATGTCTCAAACAATTGAAAAATTTAAAGCAGAATTTTGGACATAATACTGTACAGATAATTACTATGTTTTTCCATTGTTCGGTGTAATTTTTATTGTGGCAATTTGTTTTTGATGTTTATTTTTCAAAATGTTGATGTCTTCCTATTCTTTTCGTTTCGAAGTTACTTCACAAATGTAGTTCTTATATAACAAGTGTCTTGTACACCAGTACCCTGAAATCAAAAGTATTCGTTATGGAGCCGGTTACATATATCAATCCCCAATCGAATTGTTTTGAAGTGTAAAGTTTCAGCCAAATATCGTTATTTGTTAACAACATCTTTTGCAAACCTACCAAGTAATACAAGTCATTCAGGAAAGGCATATAAAACAAGATAAAATTGATTTCAATAAAACAAAAACAAAAACAACCCAAAAATCCTATGGTACACCAAGAAAACTCTTTTGAATAATCTAAAATATTTATGAAGACTTAAGTCTTTTGACACGGATTCTTTGTTTTCAGATGTTTTTCGCACATTTCTGACAACATCTTGAAATGATAGAGATAGGGCCAGTGTAAATCAATATTACAGATCAACACTTCTGATAGAGGAAAAAATGGATTGAAATAGTGATTACATGTTTTGAAACAACCGTATCTGGTTGTAAAAAATGTAATTGCTTCCATCGGATTAATGAATACATCTTTTTCAATAATATGATTGTAAGATAGGTAAATCGTATTTACTGGTGTTAACAGTAATATTTCGGTTAAAGTAAAATACATATTTATGTGCTTAACAACAATATAACTTAAAGTCGGTTGTGCTGTGTGTTTGTGATGTATTTTTGCACAGGTTTGGCTACTGGATACTAATTATGGTCATATTAAACAATTACTTCTGTTTTGGTTGCTCACTTAGTTTTGCCAACATAACTAATGGTTAAGGATGTTTGCTCCTCTGTTTCAAAATAACAAACTTTTTTAAAGACTGTTATAAATAAATAGTATATAAATAATGGAACTTAAAAAGCAGAAAAAAATGATAGGTCCGTGTCCTTGTTTTTGTGATATAAGTAATTGAAAGTTTGGCGGGAAATGATTCTCTCTAGATTTTTCATACATTTAACATAAAAAAAATGTCAGAAATGTTATGACCTTTTTTCTTTCAAAAACTATGAAGATATAAGATTTTCAAACATGGCTCTTTAAACTATATGCAATAAAATTATGAAAAGAAAAGTAGGGGTTAGTGGGCAATTTTTTTTAATGGCAATACATGGATAAAACCAGAGGTTTCCGAAAATATGGCAAATATTCAAAAACAAGAGGAGCAAACATCCTTAAGCTAGTTATATAGTTATAAATACTTTTTATAGACAAGTTTTATTGCTCATGTCAAACATCAAATTTCTTAAACAAAGAATAAAAGGTAGCAATCTAACCGGCAAAAACATTAGTAATCTAAGTAAAACTTGAAGTTACAATTCAATATTAAACACAACGCCATTGGTGATCTTTAGCTGATTAAAGATTTTTAGATAACATGTCGTCTTCACAATCTAGATTTTATAGCTTTTGCAACTAAATCATATAGTAAGATTGAATTAATCGTACATTGTATAGAAATTGTATTTTACCCACTCTATATATAGATATCGACATAACTCTTTGCCAAGGAAAACTAAATCAAGCTCAGACTGACTTGAAGATAACATGTTAAACTTAGATTGTAATAATTCGTCATGTCATGCTAAATATTGTACGTCTTTAATGATACACGTGCTGGCTCAGACATGAACATACCAAAGACGAGATTATCTGTCGATACGTTAGTAACATCCAACAGCCGAATTAAAGCCAGAAAGATTTCTGACATTTTTTTTATGTAAAAAGTAGTTATATATGACATCGAGATGAAAGGTAAAATATCAACCATGATGACATTTCACATATTGTCATACTCAACATCATACGTTTGCGTCAAAAAGCAACGACAGAGGTCAGATCATTACCACAGTAGTGTATTGTATTGACAAAATACATATTACTCTGATACCAAAAGTTTGACGACCCTTCCTTAAAGAGGCCACTTAATGAACTTTTTAGTTTCATCAATTTATCATTTGCAAATACATGTACGTACTTAAATACAAATTAAAATAAAAAATTTAAAACTGTTTTTTTACTTAAATAGATTCCACTCACTGACGCCATTGCACAGTTTTTCGCATCCTCGTTTTGTTTTGAAGTTATTCTTGTTACCATACAATCCACCATATATAAAAGTTTCACACTTCATTGTGTCAGCATTGTAAAACCATCTTTTGATTTCAGCTTCACCAGACCCATTATCTTTTGACAAAGTACATACTTGGAAAAAAAAGTAGTTTTTTCCGTTTAAGTGTCAATCATGAAGGTATTAAATTACATACTGTGGATTCATTTATTTTCGTGGATACTAATTTTCGTGGATTGAGTAAAAAAGGTATTTTCGTGGATATTTGATTTCGTGCTTTTGCCAATTGAAAATGTGTATCTATTTGAACATTAAAATTCGTTGTTCACTTACACACACGACATACACGAAAATTGATATCCCACAAATGAAAATGAATTCATATTAGCATTCATTGACATATACCAACATATATATTTCACATGATAGATGCATACTTGCAAAAAAGATTTTCATTTACTATGTAATGGAAAGGAGGAAATCTTTATTTCAAATTGGAAAATTTGGTAGTGATGTCAGATTTATTATAGTATAACTCATATTGAATTTAAAATTTAATCATTGTTTAGCGTGGGTCGTTGTAGAGTTTCAAAATTGGTCCTACATATTTTCATCATGTTTAAAGGAAACCTTGCATTATCTGGCATATGAATTATCTAAATTATTATTATTTCATATAGATTTGGTTTGTAATATAAATAAATTAACATAATTTTATTATTGATATCAAGCATGTCTGGTTTTTGTGTGTATTTCTGTTTTTGTTTGTTGTTTTCTCACTTGCTGAAAAGACACTGCCTTAAACTTTTTTTCAAACTTTGATTAACGAACACTGTCATATGATGGACGCAAAACATTCTATATATTTTTTCAGTACTTTTGGCAACTGATACCTCGTTTTTCGCAGTCAGTATGACATTCTCGCATCGTTTTGAAGTTATTTTCGTTGCCGTCACATCCACCATAGAAAAACAGTTTACACTCTCCAGAATTTACGTCAAAATAATATCTTCTCATCCTGGCATTACATGGTCCGACATCTTTCTTTAGATCGCAGACATTGTTTACTAGTTGTGCATCAGTTCTTTGCTTAATTAAAATAAAAGACGATGTCTCCAATAATTAAATGTATTATATAGATGATGGTGATTTATATCAATTTCCAATTGTTAAAAATTCCGATAATCTCTCATGTGAAATAATTGATTATCTACACTCTAGAGACTTTCCCCACCTTTTTCTGGATTGATTGATTGATTGATTGTTGGTTGCTTAACGTCCAGTGGCAAATATTTCATGCATATTCAGGACGAGAACAAATTAACAATAAATACAATAGGTAGGTTCTATAATAGGGGCGTCCGGGACTAAGGTCGGAGAAATTTAGACTGCCACGGGAAATGAGGGTATATTGAATGGGGACAGAAATTTAGCCTGGCAACAGGTCACCTACGGACCCCTCAAAGAGTTGTTAAAGGGTTCTTAACGTGCAAAGAGCGTGGCACTCTCTTTACACGAGGCATCGGATTTAACGTCCCCATTCTGACCGGACGTGGCTGTAACTTTGTACATCCCGCACAGCCAAAACGGACGCCCCACTTTGGCAAGGGTTTTACTGCCGGTCGGAGGAAGACCAATGGTGACCATACTTCTATTCTCCAGTCACCCTTGGGGGGGGGGGGGGGGGCTTTTTCTGGATCTTTCTAGAGACTTAAACTGAAAATATGAGCCTTAATATATACACTTAGTTGACTTAGTTTGTCAGCAATAAATGAAAACAAAACGTGATAAATTGCATTCATCCGAAGCGATTTTCTGGGTTAACCTTCACCGGGAACGCTCAACGCCAGTTATTTGAAAGCCAATGATGCATAAGAACCGGAACAGTTGAAGAGCTCTATGACAAAAAGGGACCTAAAATATTGATAGCCTGGTATATTTATACAAACTTCTTACTTCATATTAATCAACAAATCGGCATCTGGTAAATATATTTATACCAACATTTTGCATCACACTAATTGTCAAATCGGCATCGCTGTGTTGAAGGCTCATTGGTGGCCTGGGGCTGTTTCATACTCTTTGGTCGGGTTGTTGTCTCTTTGACACCTTCCCCATTTCTATTCTTTATTTTATTATCAATCTTCTCGAAGTGACAATTTTGTGCAATACACTTGAAAGTACATAAATCGACAATGACATAAAGAGAATCCAACTATTGCCAGTAACACAGAGAAAGAGTGTTGATATCTTCTGAAAAATTAAACCACTTGTGACCAAACGCCGCTATGGATTAAACTTATACAGAGCTCTTGTCGAATTCGTGCGTTGTTCAGTATGACTTTGTCTTATTTATGATATTCAAATACGGTGATTATTTAAACTATAAATAACGGAAATCGACATAACCTTTATTTATTGATAAAGATAACTTTCATTGATTACCCTTCGTCAAAACATCAGGTTAATCCCGCTTTTTTATTGTAGATTGCCAGTCTATTTGTATTCCGTGAAAAGGAAGACTTTTAAAGAAAGTTTTTTTTCTAAATTTCCGTCGCTATGCTTACATAAAGTATGTCATTAAAACAAATACAGGTAAATCCTTTGACAGAAAAAATACCAAACAATAAACGATAAAAAAGTACAATAAAAACGACGTAAGCTACTTTAGGGCTTACTGGTTTGTGAATTTAGATTTTGTTAATAGGCAAATTATGTAACAACTGTAATAAAAAAAAAATATAGAAATTTGCGGAAACTTTCATACTTCTACGTTAAGGATTACAATCACATAAACAGATTATATTTAAATCTTTCAAATTGTTAGTTTCAAAGTTGAAATATAAAACTGTCCTTATAAACCAAAGTCATATGAAGTTTTTTTCTATAGTTGGAGAATGTACGTAGTTATGTGTAGACATTATTTATTGTACATGGTGTTATCCAGGTTGACCTTTTTCGAATACCCGTTTAACAGATGATAGCGGATATGTTCCTAATCTCGTAACTACAATCCCGTCCCTTTTTTCCGAATGTGACCAACCGAATAAGACGTATTACCGAGTTTGTACTGACATGAGCAACACGACGGGTGCCACATGTTGAGCAGGATCTGCTTCCGGAGCACATGAGATCATCCCCAGTTTTTTGTGGGGTTCGTGTTGCTCAATCTTTAGTTTTCTATGTTGTGTTTTGTGTACTATTGTTTGTCTGTTGTTGTTTTTTTAGCCATGGTGTTGTCAGTTTGTTTTCGACTTGTGAGTTTGAATGTCACTCTGTTATCCTTCGCCTCTCCTTTGAACATGCTTTAAATGTACAGAGAATAATAGAATGGACAAACATCATTCAATAAATTTTAAATGAGACGTGCACACACATTTACGCAATTGACGTTGCAGTGGCTAGGTTGGGTCAATCTTAAATATTTCAGCAAGACTTAGTGTTGAAAAAGGGGCGATCAACTATGGAGCATGTTGACAATATTTAATGTTTTGTAAAGACATCTTTTATCCATTAAGAAATCGAATGAGATGATACAGCGGGTGGATGTTTAAAAACTATTTATTCTTCATGGCATTTCACTTGAGAAACAGAGTACTTCTTTTGATGTTATGGTTACGATTGTATCCGTCTTATTATATATGCTTTCTGCAATATTTGACGTTAGTGTTTCGACTATCAGAGACGGAACACTTACATGTATATATATATATATTCAATTACACATATAGTCGTCTAATTTATTGACCTTCATAAGTTTAAACAGTATTTATTATTGGAAATTATAACAATGAAATAGTAAAATTTTACTAGAATTGAAATATGGGATTCGGAAACAAGTTTGGAAAAACTTCAATAAATCCGTCTCTGACCTTCTTTGAATAAAAGGCGCAACCTAAAAAGCTGAAAAAATTCCATTTGCAAAAGGGATATCAACGAAACTTCAATTGAAATTCAAATATATTGTCACAATCATTATGATATTAACATGCCAAACAAAATTAGTCTGATATATAAATAAGAAGATGTGGTATGAGTGCCAATGAGACAACTCTCCATCCAAGTCACAATGTGTAAAAAGTAAACAATTATACATGTAGATCAAAGTACGGCCTTCAACACGGAGCCTTGGCTCACACCGAACAGCAAGCTATAACATGTATAAAGGGCCCCAAAATGACTATTGTAAAACATTTCAAACAGGAAACCCAACGGTCTAATCTATATAAAAAACGAGAAACGAGAAACACTTTAGAACCACATCAACAGACGACAACCACTGATATGTTTGTTTTTAGCATACACCAGGCCGTTGTTTTCCCTTTTGAATTGTTTCTCGTTTAGTTTCATGCCGATACCGTGTAAACCTTACTATGCTATTTATGATTTGTTCATTGCTGAAGTATACTCTTTTACAGACTTTCACTGTGTAGATACAATACTAGTAGTATAATGCGCTATCTATTGCCAGTCAATACAATGAATTTTGAAATCGTGTAAAGCAGAATTTAAACTGTGTAGCCTTTGGCAAACCGTGCAGTACGTGTAATAAGGTTTGATAGTGCCTTCTTTTTCCTTTGGTCCCTTCAACTGATCATTCAGTTGTTTTATTTCCGTCCCAGTTTCAAGCATGATTCTTAATTTATATGTTTTTTTTTCCTGAAAATTGCGGCCGGGATAGACAAGTGGTTATTTTCTACACAAAATGATATCACAATGTCGTTCCTTTATAGAAAATAGACAATAAGTATTTGCACAAATACATTAACTTTAAATGGCATGATCAAATACGACCAATAACACAGACAATTTTTATAATTATTTTAGAGTGGGAGTGGTTCTCATATGAGATTAAAAAAAAGAAAACCCTAAATGACTACAAAATATTAATGTCCATGTATATATATTTAAACCTCAAGAGAGATAATCATTTATATATATTTTGCAGTCAATTTTATAATTATTTGCGAACAGCTGCTCTACCGTGTGGACATATGCATCAGTGATATTACTGCATGCAATTTAATACAATTGCAATACATGTATTTTTTTTTCATAAACGAATCTTCCAATAAGGCAAAGTATGGACAGACTGAAAATATACAGTATTCATTTTCAATTTCATTAATGTTGCAAGACAAATCGACCCCTTTTTAATTGCTAGGGAATGGGCAATGCCTCTTGATTTTACTTAGAAGTGATTTGTCTGATTTCGTTTTAAAAGTATCAATATATGGATTTCGGTCTTCAACTTTATAAATATCATGAAAGCAATTTATATTTTCTTATTAATTTCCTTAAGGAATAAACAGTATGGTTAAGCTTGAGCAAAGATCCTTTGTTGGATAATTTTATATACTATTTATATAAGTTTATACTATTTGGGTCCAAATCTAAATGGACATATCCTAATTTATTTATCTATAAAAATAAGAAAATGTGGTATAATTGCCAACGAAACAACTCTCCACAAGAGACCAAATGACACAGAAATTAACAACTATAGGTCACCGTACGGCCTTCAAAAATGAGCAAAACCCATACCGAATAGTCAGCTATAAAAGGCGCCGAAATGATAAATGTAAAACAAATCAAACGAGAAAACTAACGGCCTAATTTATGTACAAAATAATGAACGAAAACCAATATGATATACAGAAACAAACGACAACCACTGAATTACAGGCTCCTGACTTGGGACAGGCACTAGTCTTTTACAATGTTGACCATTTACTGGTTTTCTCTACATTTTTGTAGATTTTATAGGCCAATGAATCAGGGAAGTTTATGATATGATTTAAAAAGGTAACTTTCAGACAGATTAATTTTCAGGTGCAGATAAGTTATGTCTGTCTCGGCAAGACAAACTACATTGGTGTGTAGTATATGGTTCATATTGCTAAGTCTTGGGTTTCTTTGTAGTGTATTGGGAACTTGTTTGTCTTGTCGTAGCCATGGCGTTGTCAATTTCGATTGACTTATGTGTTTTGGATGTCACGTTGGCATATCCTGCCTCTTTTTTGCAATTAAACTGACCAAGACACATTGTATCAGAAGCTGTCACAACAAGACAAACCCTAACTTACACA